TTGGCGCCCGTGTGGGCGAGCACCTCGCACGTTTGCGTGGAGAGGTATGAGGCTTCCCTCGTTAAGGGTCGTAAATAATGGCGATGGCGACGATAACGAGGCAATTTACGAGGCACGCTCCCGCGCACGTTTTGGCTTTGACGTTTCGTCGCGGCACGATTTAAATTTTTCGCAAGTTTGCGACTTTCAAGTTTGCGTGGCACGGACCCCCTCCCCCCCCCTCGCGCGCGGAGGATAACTCACCGCGACGAAGGACCTCCCGCGTCGATCGATCGGCTCGGCGAGTGAATTATAATAGCGGATACACAACGCACCCGGTATTTTATCGTCCGTGCGAGACGCCAAAATATTTCATGGCCTGCGAAGATTGGAATAAAATCCGATACCGGCGCGATAAAGTTTTTCGACAAACGTGTACCTGGCGTGTACCACACTGTGAACTTCGTGAAATTCTCCCCTTCTCGAGATTGCGGAGGATATTACACGAAGGAATCTTGTTTTTGTATACATGATAATTTGGACGGGATATAAAATTTCCAGATCGTGAAGATTTTCGATTCATATTTCGACCGCGCAGATGCGGACATAGTAAAAGTCAAACGGCGAGCTTGGATCTTTATGTCGAGCGTTTTCGTAAATCCTTAAGATCGCGATCCCCAAGAGGCGATTAGATATATGAAATATTTTGGCGTTTGACTCGATTCAAACGGGGATACTCCAATTTTCCAACTTCGATTATTCGGGTGCATGTAAATTTGCGGACTTAATGAATGTAACGCGGCGTGGCCATATGGTCATGGTATATACGAATATTTCGCTCGCTAATGGTCTTCCCGCTCGTTTATACTCCTTAGAGCGTTCTTAGAGCACCCCATTTCTCAGAAAGTGTAGAACAGATATGAACAATTTAAGTTTTAAAATGATTGAGGCGTTAGGAAAGAGTTCCATGTGTTAACCCAGTGGAGAGATTCATGCAATGTTAAGCACTAGGAACTTGTGCCTTCTTAAGTAGACTAGAAGCGCGATGTTTTAATGAAAAACCTGATCTTCTCGCTCTCATTAATATCCATCACCGAAATTAATCGGAGCTCACGAAAAGTGTAGGCTTTACGCTCCACGTATGCATGTACGGGAAAATGATGGAAAGTCAGGAAAAAATAAAAAAAAAAAAAAAATAATAGCGAGAAAGTATTGACGTGATCGTGAAAATGACCGAATTCGGAGTATTAACTTTGAGGTATGGTTACACAAAAAAACATGTTGCGCTATAACTATAAATATACCGTAGCAACCCGCGTAGTAACTCGTGTTGGACCCATAAAAAAACGTCTATAAAGGATATAAAAATATTTTTTTTTATATTTTTCCTCTGCAAGGGACATCTTGCGCAATGTTCCCTTATTATTAACTTCCTTGTGGGCGTCCAAAATCTATGACTATGAGAATCGACAGGTTCACCTGATTGTGTACATCGAGGAATTAGCTCGACGATCGACGATACCATCCCGGCGGAAACACAGCCGCACAAACGCCAGTCGCTTATTTCGCGAGGCGAGTCGCGTGGGTGACGTCTGCCTCCGGCAGCCTCGCCGTTGCGGAACGGAAAGCGAAAGACGGAAAGAGGAAGCAAGAGAGGGAGAGAAAGAGACAGAGAGAACGATAGAGGGATGGGTGGGGGAGGGAGAGGGGAAAATTCCCTTCGCACACCGAGCAGCCTCTTCAAGCAGCCTCTCGCTCGCGCCCTTCTCGTTCTCGTGTGTGAGAAGGAGGAGAGGGGGGGGGGGGGACAGACGGAGGTGAAGGGTGGCGTGTGTGAGATGCGAGGGTGTAGAGAGAGATGCGGTGGGTGCCGAAGGCGCAACGGCGGCTGCGAGAGGATGTGGAGCACGAGCACGGCGGCGGTGGCGGCGGCGGCGGTGGTGGCAGCCGGAGAAAAGATGCTGCGCGTACACGAGGAAGAAGCAGGATGGAGAGCCTGCGATGTGGGGGCGGCGGAGATAGCAAGAGGGGCAGCAGAAGAGGATGAGTGAGAGAGAAAAAGTAGGGAGAAGGAGAGAGAGAGAGAGAGAAAG